GCCAGGATAGCAGACAGAAACCTGGCAAGGTCTAGTCCTGCAGAAAGCAGTGGCTGCAGTGGCTGCAGTGACTGCAGCACTGCATGCCTTTCAGATCAGCTAAATTCTGCCCTGTTGCATGGTAGATGCAGTGCTGTGCAGCGTTTAATATTACACACTGTGTCCCATTGCCTCTGTGTTACCGTGTAGGACAACGAGCAAGTTTCAAGGACGTCTCATTAAATTTCTTCACTACAAAGAACTGAAGTTTGGCAATTTGCATTCTAATAATGTTGGGACTTCGGAGTAGTGTTAGAGGGGAGGCAAGGAGAAGGTAGCGTTTAGCTATGTTTTAAGTTTTACATTTGTTAACTTCCTACCAACTTTTTTCTGAACTGTCCTGTGCCTTATAATTTAAAATCTGTTTGTCTACATTGCATGCCATATGATTTTTTAAAACAAGAGCTGGCCTGGCCATATTAAAAGCAAAACTTCAGTCCAGCCCTTCCATGCTGGCAATAACATAAGACTGAAACGTTGCACAATTGGAGACTTAATTAGCTTTGACAGTTCTTGTAAAGAAAACACTTCCTTGTTAAGTAACAAATACAGGTGTAATTAAGTCCGTTCTGAAATTAAACAGAAAATAATTGCTCTTCTGATTTCTGTCTGCGTATATGAACCTGAGAAGCCATTTGAGGTTCCACCTTCCCCCGTCCTGCAGCCATACAAAGAGTCGCCAGGCGGCAGCGTGTGCACAGATTGCTACGAGACTCCGTGGTACAATTCCATGAGCTTTCATCGTATAGAAAAAGTCTGAGGGCAAATTACATACTGAGAAACAAGATTTTTGAAAAGATTTTGCCTTAATAAGACACATCTTTGATTTTCCATGAAACTGTACTACTGTGATACTACTGAGAAATGCCTTCTTACAGAAAGGTTTGTTGGAAGAGCCAGCAGGATCTTCCAGCAGGCCAGCTGACATAATTGAAAAGAACATGCAAACTTTCCTGCGTATAAGGCTTTCCTTTTAGAAAAGACACTGCTACTTGACTCAAAGAATAGTACAGTCTTTTTATTCTTGTTTTTTTCTTGGGTGAAACTGCCTTGCTTTTTTTTGTTTGATTAGAAATAAAAAAAAAATAATCAAGCAATTTCGCATAACACCTACTATAAAGCTTGCTACCCTGTCTGCCAAAAGGCAAAGACTAGCCTACTGAGCTGAACAAGTTTGGTCTCTTTCTAGCACTCTTTTGATTTGCAAACAGGTAAGTTGCAAAGCAGGGCTTATTTGCTTTTGACCATTTCCCTCCCGTGTTTCAGTTGCAACTTTATCTCTTCCTTCAGTTACACTGAAACGATAACATACAAATGTTTGCAAATGAATGTCACCAAACACTCTTGAACCATCCATCAACAACTGGTAATGCTTGTAAAGCATTTTTTTTTATCAATGCATGTTTGCTGTTGCTTTGTTATTTGTGAGGGAGAATCATGCTGCTTCTCCATATTCCAAACATATATTTCTTCAATCTGTTTTGAAATTAATTTCTTAGCAACTACCCTGATGCACTCTGATTGCATCAAGGCCTGTTACCCAAATTTGCATTTCTTTTCATATTTACAACTTTACTGGACACAGAAACTTCGAGGTGAAATTTTCCAGAATATAGGGAAAGTCCATCTTCAGATTCCTAAAGAAAAGTAATGAAGATTTTTTGTCATCAAGTAAGATGCTGTACATAATGTATTTTATGATAATATTCTGCCCATCCTATTCAGTGGTGTCTATACTTAAAATAATTTAATGCATTGCAGGATGAAATGAGATTAGTTTGTTTGATATTTTACAAAGTCAATGAAGCAGAACAAGACAGATATATGAATCCACTTCCCTTAATGCTTAAGTTAAAAAGTGTTACTGAACCTGCCACTGCATTTGTGTGTGGAGTTGAGAAAGAAGGCATGAGCTTTAGGAAGCTTTAGGAAGAAATCTGTGGTACACAGAGATTTCAGATTTGGTAGGATTCCTAGAAAACTCTCTTTTCAGAAGAACAGGGAAAAAAATAAGGCTTCTGTGATTTTGTACCTTACTCCAAAATTTCTTTACAATAAACCCTCCTTGCTTTCCTGCTTTTTACAGATATATCAGGCCAACACTTCACCATTAAGCAGCAGGTTTTTAGGCCTTTTTTTTTGCCTGAGAAAAGAGGTCCCTGCCATGGGATTCTGTAAAACTTCAGAGCTGACTGAAAATGCAGCCATCTTCTCATGCAGAGAAGACTAAATGTTTATTCTTTGAATAGCAAAGACTTTGGATTTTCTCTTCTGGATCTGAACTTCCAAGGTTCAGATCACTTCACTTCTTCTTCCAGGTAAAAAAATTTATAGAGGTAGGAAACTTTGGGAAAAGATCTGAGGGAGGTGATCTCCGGGTTTATAATGAGTCACAGACTCAGAGGCCACAGGAAAAGAATGAATGAACAGGGTCTGTTCAACTGAGAGAGAAACAAGTAATGTATGTAAATCTTTGAATGTGTAGAAGACTTCAGCACAGACAAAGGGAATAAATTCTTCATGTCTGTAATGAGCTGGAAAGAAAAAATGGATCTAAATTCCATTAAGGAATATGCAAATTAGGAAAAATTTGTTGAGAAGAGTGAAGTAACCAGACTGCCTGGGTTGGCACAGAAGGTCCTTCATTAGGTGTGTTTCCAAAAAGGTTAAGCAATGTCTTCTCCTGCCTTAGTGTACTAAATAGAGGAGTTGACCTTCTAAAGCCCCTTCCATTTCCTATCTAAGTTTCTAGACAGACTTTCTAATGAAAAAGTTTCATAGGTTTGTGCTGTCAGCCTGTCTTACTTCTTAAAAAGTTATGTAATAACATTAGAAAGCTTTAACAAACCTAACAGTTCCCTTACCCCTCACTAAGATGTTACACAGAAAGAAATGGGAAATAAAGCTTTGTTGGCTTTGCTGTTCCTACTTTTTTTTTTTTTTTTTTTTGACAGGAGAGTGTGTTGGAGTGTTTTTCTTGATAGTTTGGGATTCTGTAGTGACCAATAAAGCACCCTGTCAACTTGTTTTCATCCCACTGTCAGTTCCTTTCTAAGCCCAGCCTGTGATATGAATCAAAGAGGGATTGTATAACTTCCTCTTTAGGTCAGCTCTCATTTTGAATGGCTTCAAATAGCCTTTTAAACATTTCTTGTCATTGTTAGTGTCTATTAAAATTTGTCCTTTTTAAACTGGGTATCTGAAAGTAAATGCTTAAAATCATATTTGAACATCTTCTTAAATACCATGCTTCTTCAATATTCTGTGTTGCGAACTCATACACTTCAATAAAAATTTTTGCCTGTTTGGACAGTTTGAAAAAAATCAGTCCAGCAGCTTATATAGATTATAATGATCGAGCTGCATCCTTTGCCATAGGAAATCCCTAAGCTGGTAATGCTTGTTCAAAACCCTTCTTATCAATGGTAGCTTGTATTTTAAGCCACTTTATCACACGTACATCTTCAATGCTGCGTGCACTTTGGTGGTGATTGAAGACTGGCTTTTTTGTTTTACAGATTTTGCATTATTCCACTTTCGGCAACGGAAATGTGCAGAAGGATTTAGGAAGGAAAGGAGTTTAATGTAGTGCGTATATACTTACATGGATGCTTTCCAAATAATCTACATTTTAAAATACTCACTTTCTTGATTTGTCTACTTTTGGATTTCAGGCAAAATTTCCAGCTAGTAACTGTTTTAATCTGTTACAAGCTTGGTGAAGGCAGATGGCTTTTTTCTAAAATCTGTGTGCCAGTAATGGTCTGAAAAGGATACCTGAAGTTTCCTGTCAAAGTGTTGCATATTTAAATGTTTCCTGAACTGCAGAATATCAATATGGATAGAAATAATGAACTAAGCTTCTAGCTTCTACATAAAAAGTAGTCCAACAAAAGCTTTCAACACTGACTTTGAGAATGATATTTTCATCAAGGTTGTGGTTTTAATGTAGAATGGCTAGAATTGAGATGCTAGAGAGAAACCTAAGTTGTGTGGTATTTTACAAAACAAAACTATGGAAATGTGTCCTTTATGGGTTCCAAGTTTAGTGATACCCTTCCTAAGAAAACCCTTCTCAACAAATTCAGTATACAAATGTCCATGAGTTTTCTTAACTTAGGTGGATTGATCGGTTTCCTAACAGAGTTTTTCATGTCTTCTTACAGGTAAGATTCTAGAGTGAATCAGTCAGCTTAAAAAAAAAATCATGGAATGTTCTACTACTCTTACAAACAGGAGTTAATATTTTAGGAAGCTTCAGGTTTTAAGGGCTATTTGGAGATAACTAAGTGTTTCCAATGAGATATCCAGAAATCAGCTGGATCGTTTGAAAATTAGTTGTTTACTGAAGGTATGTTATTCTGTTTGAGCTCTTATGATGTAAAGTGTGAAGATAATACAATACTATTCCATCACATTACCTTTAGTTTATTTGATTTTTTTTTTTTAATTTCACAATAATCTCTTAAGCCTTTTAGTCTCCAGAGGAGTAAATACTGTGTACACAGTACCTTGAGACAAAAACAGTGATTTACCTGTCATTTTTCTTTCTTAAAAGTTCTCTGAACCTTTCTCTTGGATATAAGAAATTCTTTCAAGATCTCATTCTCCTTATCTTTTGATTCCACTTATAAGATGTATTTTCCAGTTTACTTTTATTCTCCTGAAGAAAGCAACTGTAGATGACTGTGTGTCTGAAGCATCGGCAGCTTGTGTGTCCCTGAAATAGCCCTCAACAAATCTTGGGTCTGAAGAAGCTCCTACATAATCCCAAACTGAAAACAGACTCAAGAGTGGAAATGATATGATACCATATTTATAGATGACTTTTTCTCTTTGCATAGGTGAGTTGAGCCAATTATTACTTTCCATGTATTTCTGTGTCTACCCAATTAATGGCATCTAGCTTACAGAAATTCAATTATTATGAAAATCCTTCTGACTGGGTATTCCCTAAACTATTTGTCCAGAGAAAGATTTTGTTATCAAAGTTTGATATGTTTAATCTGTAATCACATTATTTCTGCATTTTGTCTCTTTCATTACATGTTAATTGATAAATCATCAGAGTACTCATCTTCACAGATTTTCTTGTGAAGCATGGGATGGTCTGTAGATAAATCATTCTAACATTTACACAACTGCAGTGGATTAGAACTTCTGTTTCTGGAAGAGCTCCTTCAGCTGTTGTTCACTTGTCGCTTCTTTCTGCTGCATCAGCTCCCTGGCTCCTTTGGTCACTCCCCAGCCATCTGGCTTTGACATTGAAGGACAATATGGCCTGCCTGAAGCAGGCTTCAGATTCTCCCAGTATTCTTTTCTTGCCCTAAAGAAAGAAAAGGAAATTTAGGAGATTCTCCAGCACCTCGCAATACTAAAGGAAATGTGGCTTAAATCACCATTGCAAAGGGTCATCTAACTTGCAAAGACTAACTTTGTATTTAGATAAAGAAGTATGAATGAAAGCATGCAATGAAATGCTACATGCTCACCAGTCTTTTTACAGCAGTCTGTCAGTTTTTGATAAATTATTTTTGCATTAATTCAGACCAAATCTGCATATTAAAGAGGGATCAGAATTTCTGGAACTCTCCTACTGCCCCTTCACCCCATTCCCCGCTCCCAGATCAGATTTAATTCTTCAAAATTATTAACTCATAGAATGTTTATAGTGATATTTAGACCCCCGTATAGTTAAGCCAGTCTGCTGCATCGACAAGTATAACCCTTTGCAAGGAACACGTTGGTGTGCTTTCCAGTTCAGCTATACGTACCTTGCTCTGACCCATGGTTTTGTATGCATGCTCAAGCTATCGCCCCAGCTACCATGTTTCTCAGAAGCTTCTGGCAAAAATCCTCTTTCAGGAGCCAGCTCCTCAGCTATTGCTCGGATGTGATACGGCTCAAATCCACAGCAACCTCCAATGTAACGAATTCCTAAGTCATAGGCCTTTCTTGCATAGTTTTGAACATCCCATCTGGTTACAATTCTTGGCTCCAGAGCTGCAAAGTCATTGATATCTTAAGTTTACACCATCCTTCATTTCAGCACATTTTTTGGTAAGAAATCATGTTGTTGAGACACTTGCACATTGTTTGCAAAACTGGTTGTAGATCTGCGTGTTTGAACTGTCTGAGCTAGAATCAATGATGCAAACTTTCACAAGTCTAGCTTTTAGATTCTGCTGAGCTACGCTTGCTGTAAGTTTTATTGGCCTTGCAAAACAGCATCTAATATCTTCTGAGACTAATCAAGCCCTCAGTCACATGCTTTCCCTTCTGCCAGAGTTCTTAGCTGGAGTACTGGAGTACTTTCAATGTTATGCCTGCATTTCCAAAGAGTTCCTAATAAACAATCAATATCTGGCAAATCTGATTACAGTAATCTAATCTGTGAAAGGAGAAGGTATGAGCCTACCTGCAACAGGAATAAGCCTGCTCATTATTCCTTAGGAATGCTTATTACACTTTTTTCCATGATCAGCTAGTGGCAGCCAGTTGTTTCACTGACAGCTGGGATCGGTAGCTATTCCTTAGCCAATCCCTTACTTAGTTATAATCCTAACCATAAGCAGCTTGCTGCCTCAAACCACTTTGTTCCTTATGGAACATTATGTGTGTAGATAAGTTAGGATTGCAATCTTTATTTTGAACCCTTTTTCCTATTGCAGGTTGTGATGAGCAGAGTAAAGGGATAACAGAGCTGAGAGGAAGGACTTGTGGAAGGAAAGGAATAGAAAGTGAAAAGAACAAGGAAAAGCACACCTCAAAGGGAAGGAGGCACAAGAGTGGCAGAACTGGAAAGAAAAGGCCAGGGACTAAAGAAGAAACTTTAAGGAACAAAAATACAGGAATAAAGGAATAAAAATTCTCCCACTTCTTTGGGCACATCTGCAGGAGATGAACCATCATGGTTATCAAGCGAGTGCAGTATGATGTCTGTGCACTGAACACTATGCTGGGTAAAGAAGCTGTGGTGAGGTAGTAAGGCTCCAGCAACATAGCACAGAAGTGGGCTTCTTCATAAGACCTCTCCTAAAAATGCCTAACATGCAAGAAGGTGATACAAAGCAGATCTACTTTAAGTCCAATGGGCAGTTAAGAGACAAGTTCAGAAAATAAAAAGTAGAAGGAAAAAAATGAAATATTCTTAAACAAAAAAATATTTGTCTCAGAGGGACACACTGGACAAAGGAAAAGTAGATGGTCTAATATCAGAAGGAAAACCAAATGAAGCTATCTTAGAAAGCTGTTTAAATAAAAGTAAGCTTGCGTACAGTCCTGCAGATGTGAGAGAAAAAATCAGAAGCACAAATCAATTATTTCCTTGTCTCTCATATATCATTAAAAAACTAATGCAAAATTGATGCAAAATGATCAGCAGTAAGAATGTAGCATCTTGCACTCAATTATCTGCATAAACAACTAAACGCCAGGGAAACAGTACAGAGCATTTCCCTGTCCTCTCCATTGCCCACTGTGCCACAATTCATGGGACCTGATGAGATGCATCCAAGGGTCCTGAGGAAACTAGCAGATGAAGTTGCTAAGAAACTGTCCATCATAGATGAGAAGACATGGCAGTCTGGTGAAGTTCCCACTGATTGGAAAAGGGGAAACATAACCCCCACTTTTAAAAAGAGAAAAAAAGAACATCTGAAGAACTACAGGCCAGTCAGTCTCACCTCTGTGCCCGGCAAGATCATGGAGCAGATCCTCCTGGCAACTATGCTAAGGCACATGGAAAATAAGGAGGTGACTGGTGACAGCCAATAGCATCCTGGATTGCATCAAAAGTAGTGTGGCCAGCAGGGCCTAAGGAGGCAATTGTCTGCGTCTGCTCTGCTCTTGTGAGACCCCACCAGAGTGCTATGTTCAGCTCGGGCCACCAGCATAAGAAAGACACGGACATGCTTGAGTGGGTCCAGAGGAGGGCCATGAAGATGATCCGAGGGCTGGATCTCCCCAATGAGGAAGGGCTGAGAGAGTTGGGGTTGTTTAGCCTGCAGAAGAGAAGGCTCCAGGGTGATCTTATAGCAGCCTTCCAGTACTTAAAGGGGGCCTACAGGAAAGATAGGGAGGGACTCTATCAGGAAGTGTAGTGATAGGATGAGGGGTAACATTGTTAAAGAGGGTAAATTTAGATTAGATATTAAGAAGAAAAATCTTCCCTCTGAGGGTGGTGAGGCACAGGAACAGGTTTCCCAGAGAATTTGTGGATGTTCCCTCCCTGGAAGTGTTCAAGGCCAGGCTGGATGAGGGTTTGAGCAACCTGATAGAGTGGAAGATGTCCCTACCCATGGCAGGGGGGTTGGAACTAGATGATCTTTAAGGTCCCTTCGAACTCAAACCATTCTGTGATTCTATGAATTAGTTCTTGGGCTTCAGGAGTGAAAGAACAACAACAGCCTAACCTCTTTGAAGAAGCAGGGATAGACTCCACATAAGAATTGGCCACACATGTGGTGAAACAGTGATTCAAAATATGCAGTATTCTATGAAAGGAAGTTGTCACATCTATCACATTTTGTGGGATTTTCCCCTTCCCAAAATTGAATAACACTGTATTTTCCATGCCTATCAATGCATTTCTTTCCTTGTCTTTATTCAGAATTAAATATCCATAGCTTAACAGTTTAAAAAGAGATTGAAGTTTTTATCAATTTTTGACGAGAAGATTGTAACCTGCTCCTGGATTTAGCCTCTCTCTATATATACTCTTGAGATAATTGGGTATGGTTTGGCTGACCTGGACAGTTCTTTCTAAAACATTATCCTTGCTTAACTAGTGACATTTCAGAGCATTTGCAGTAACACAGAAGGGAAAACACAGAAAACTGGAAAAAAAAAATCTACAGATAAATAAATACTGCTGGCTTCTAGATGCTGGAGTTTGCCAATACAACATAGCCAATGCTCTTCTAGAAACTGAGATCTTGTTGACCTGTACAGAGGTTATGTACACTTCAAACATCTAAATACTGCTTTGTGCAAATTGCCTTCCTCAAAAATCAGAGTTAACTGGGTCAGTATAACAATGATTTACCAAACTGCTTAACTGCCATCAAGTGATCAGTTGCTCCTTTTGGATATTGCAAACATTCACAGAACCAGCCTTCTTCAATTGACTCGTGAAATTTCTGAAAGCTGAGATCTCAGATTGCTTATAACACACAAGCCAAGAAGTATAACAAACCAAAGAGTGAATCCTTCAATTCACTTGATTACTTTCTGCATCTGTTCTGTCTTTTTTTGCTTGCAATCAGAGGAGTTATATGAAAGAATGAATAGGATAAATGAGTTCCTAACACTTTTAAACGTCTCAGAATGTTTTCAGAATTCAGACATGTTATTATAATTTAATAAATGTGTCAGGCTCATACTTTATTCTCTTTCATTTGTTTATGTGAAGAGATGAATTAAAAAAAAAAATCTTCCTGAAAATCATGTCTATCTCTCAAATTTTTTGCTACAAATTCAAGTTTCACAGGTTTTAATACCTTATTTTATAGTCTGATCTTGAAAAGAAGAGTGTATGACACCTGAAAATGAAAGCATTTTTCTAATCAATTTTAAAATGTTTAGGCTGATTTTGTCCTCTTATCTAAAAGGGATGTTATCTTCTACATCCCAGGTGGAAATAAGCCCACTAAACACATAAAGTGGCTGAATCTTTCAGTCTTTGTAGAATTTCTCGTGAGCATACATGTGATGAATTTATCTCCAAACTGTTAATGCATTTGTTAGCAACATCAAAGAACATATTCCCTCTTCTGGTTTATCTCTAATCTCATTTATACTAGACAGTTACACTTGCAAGACTGAACCATTATGACTGCAATAATCACGCACTTATATCCAGTTCTGCATATGCATTGTACATTAAATCCCTGTGTAGGTAAACATTATAGGGCTTGCGGGATAGATGTCACAACCCAGAACACTGGGGAGCTCCAAGATAAAAGCATTTAAATTAGGGTTTTTTTAGTGTATTTGCTCTTGTTCATTTCTTTGGACTGTTTACAGCTGTCCTGAACAAGGCTCTATAGCTAAAGCTAAGTTTAAATTGTGGCACTTTAACTGTTTTCATCATAATTTCACTTCCAGTCACATGCTGTGATACCACTGAGATACTCTTACTATGTGGATGATCTTTAATCCAGTATTACACTGCAATCCTTCTATGAAAAATGCCAGACAGGATAACTGGGACTGATCCTGTTGTATAGAAGGACATCTTGCAACTTCAACATTACTAAAAGCTGGGGAACAAAGAGGAACAGACAATTGGAAGAAAGAAAAAAAGAAAGAAGATACCCTTGTCTTACCAAAGGGAAACTCTGGAAGATCAATAAAACCCTGCTTTCCACAATCAGGTGTATGGAAAGCAAGTGGTTGGGACATCAGGTGGGCTTTCAGTTTAGCAGCCTGCAATCCCTCTTTCATCAGTTTCACTGTTTCCAGGGCAGTATTTGGATCAAAATGGCAGTTGACTCCAACAATAGAAGCACCTAGGAGGAGAAAAATAACTTAAAAGTCACATCTCCCCAGGAAGTGGGAGGTAAAAGTTCTTAGCCACAGCACTCCAGAAGCAGAGCAGTCCATCTTTACACCAGCATTATGAAAACAAGTCAGTTGAGTTAGATCCAGCCTCAATTCTCCTGAGGTTGATCATTCCATTTACATCTCAGTTGCACTCCTCTTTACCTTCCTGATGATGGTAGGTACCTCTCACCCTCATGCAGTTGCTTTTCTTACGAGTGTTTAATCAATGAAGACTGATTATATACACATAGGAACCTGCTAGCTATTTGCATAACACAGGTTCTGCCTTTAAATTTCAACTCTAACCTCAAATGGAAAAGAGTAGTTCAGAACAGATATAATAAAACTGTAACATCATTCATCATGCCCCTGATAATTTTCTTCTGCCCTTCCTCTTGTCCTGCAGAAAACACAGCCTTTGATAGGCAAAAAGATTAATTTTTTCATCCTTTTACTTTCTCATCCTGGATTTGAACTGTGCTCCATACATTTCTAAAAACACAAGCAGAGAATCAAAGGTGGCTTTGGATTCTGCTTATGTTTCATAATTGTGAGCCCAGAATTTGGGGTTGGCTCTGTAACCAAACTTGAGTAGGTTTAAGATTTTGCTCTACTCAGTACTAGCTGCCTGTGGTATTGCTCCAAATGCCATTTCAGTTAATAATGATTTCATAGCTGCATTTTCATACGTTTTTTTTACAAGAATGCTCTAGTAAAGTACACATACAAACTTTTCTATAAGGTCAAAACTTTTATCAGATGTAATTGGGAAGCTACCTACTTGAGCTACACATCCATCTATCTCAAGGACTTTACTTTGTTCCATACTTCTGGACGGCATATTAAAAACAGATTCTTACCGGCCTTTACCAGTTGGACAGCACATTGTCCAGGGGGCACACCATGCATGTCTCCTTCTGGACCAATGCACATTGTAGCTGCAACTGGCTTTCCAGATTCTTTTAGAACTTCAACTGCCCAGACAGCCTCCTCAACATGTTCAAAATACTGAAAGAAATTAAAACTGGATTACTTTTGTTTCTTGGAGATGAAGCATAAACACGTGAATCCAGACACCAAATTCACTGGCAATACAAGGACTTGATTCTTTTCTGATTTACACTAAGATAGTTCAATTAAGTTCACTGACCACACAGTTAAAAAGGATTAGTAAGTAAAAATAACAAAAAATAATGATATTTTTGTTTCAGAATAAGAATGCCCATACAGGGGGTTAATCAGGGATTTATCTCCAAAGAACTATTTTCATCTAGAAAAGTCACCTCAGGTTGATTGCTTACGCTGTACGGGAGGAAACAGGAACTAGTCAAGATCACATTAATCTATCCTCTTTGTACTAAGAATCTGACTTGACCAAGGCATAAATTTAGGTTTTAAGATCCTATTCTAGGATGCTTGCAGATGCTGTCATGCATTTAGGAAAACATCTGATACTACTGGAATAAAAGCATAACAGAAAATGTTAAAGGAGGAAGCAATATATACTTGTACTTACTAAAGCAGACTAGACATCTTAAAGTTAACACCGTGCCACTCGAAGGCATGTATGTTTTTCAGATTTACCTCTGCAATTAGAAAGTCCACATTCTTCTTCATAAAGACATCCAATTGCTTTCGAAAGACTGCTTTGACCTCTGCTTTATCCTTGCAGCTTAAGTATGATGGTGTTTGACTGACTCCTCCAGCCACTAAAGCATCGCCTTCATTAGCTACTTCTCTTGCAATGTCACAAGCAGCTTCATTCACTTTCTGGCACTGTATAAACATAGATTATGTTAGTTTTACCTGGTCAGAAATATGCATGTCATTTCAGAGCACAAAAAGGACAATAAGAGTCAAAATATGGCTTCTTCATATTCTTTTATAATTGAAATGGATTTTTTAATAATATTGATTAGGAAGATCAGTGTCTTTTAGAAAACCAACAAACATTAGGAAATAAATTTCTTGCCACCTCTAAGTTATCATATTATCAAATGCTATAAAAACATATTATCTTTAATACAACTTACACAAATAGTCTATAAAAAACAAATATTTGGTGTGAAGTGGAATTTTCTTTGCCTCTTAGAAAACGAGTTAGTTACACTTAAGTGTATGCTTTTATTCTGACATTTTGTGGGTAGAAAACAAAATATGTAGTAATTCTAATTGATTTTTCATTCTTTTTTTAATGTATTTTAGTATTTTGATAATTATCAAAATTTAAGATGTAATGTTCACATTGAGTTATTTAAGGCATTTAAAAAAGATAATTATCTTATGCTAAAGTTACCAATTTAAGAATAGTAAAGGGAAACTATCACCATATATGATTAATTAATCACCTAGACTGAAAGACACATTCCCTCTATACCTAAATCAAGATTACTAGAACAGCTTGGGAAAAAGAGGTTAGGCTGGGAAAAAAAGATTTTGGGGAAAGAAACATTATTTAGGATAGATGACAAGTAGTGATTAGAGCAGGTTTTTCTGCAGCCCATGGACTACTTGGAATCTACGTAGGTTTCTCTCAGCTGAAGTCTTCCATGGCTGCCTCAAAAGACCCAGCTGATTTTTCAGGCTACTGCTAACAGATTGTTTGCCATTTGCACTTGTGCTCAGATACACGTTTGAGAACTCTGGGAGGCAGAGGCATAAACCAGTTAAAGCCTGGAGGTACCTGCTTCTAGAACTGGCAGCAACTCAATCTTAAAAGCTTTGCTGCAATGCATTCCAAATAACAGGTGCTCTCCCAGCCCTTCTTATAGTTTTGCGTGGTAGCAAGAGTTGGGGCATGGCTTGCTCCAGAGGCACCATGTTTCTGGGACTACCACTTCAGACATTTCAATGTTGCATCTATCGAATGTAAAGGTACAGCATTTCAGAAAAGTTTGGTCATATGACATTTTGATGGGGCCTCTTAATTAAGTCTAAGTGTTTCTTTAGTGTCCAGATTGTTCTAATTTCTAACTTGGATTATCTTCACAGATACAAAGGTATTCCTTCCTCCCTGCCCCCTGGAGAATCATCTCTATTTTGCAGAGGCTGAAATAGACAATAGGACTAAACAGGAAAGGATCAGAGAAAGCACTCATTGGCAAACCTTCTAGTCTCAAAGGAGACATATCTAGAAATGTTTGTGCCAGAAGTCCCAGTGGAGCTCGGGCCTGCATCTAGTGAACACACCCAACATCCTGTAACACCTTTGTGTAGGGAGTAAGAAAACACTAACATGGTACTTCTGGTGCTGTAGCTTATTACTCTTACACATGAGAAGGGGAACATTGACCACAGTGTGGCTTCAATTTTCTGGTTGTTACTTCATGGAAGACGTGGTGCTAAAAAACATTCTGAACATTCTGTTCTCATTAGCCACTCATTGTTCCCTAGGATTCTTCACCATTTTTGCAGTTGATTTGTTTCTCTGGATGTTAAAGCATTCCTTTTTTCAACTGATTTTGTTCTCTGTGCATTTAGTCCTCCCTATACTGTTCATATCAAAACTCCAGGAAACTAATTTCCTCAGATGGGAAAGATATGATGTGGGCATCCTCTTTCCTCTCTTCATCCTTGCCCCATTTTATTATTTTTTGTCCTTTAACCTTGTCTTTCTTGCTATTCCAAACTCTGAAATTGCATCATTTCATTCTTTGATCCTCAAATACAGCCAAAACTGTTACAACAAACTGTGAAAGTACTGGAGGATCTCCCTACTAAACCTTTTGAAATCAATCCAATTATTTCATATCTCCACCAAACCAGAATTTTACTCACAGTTATTTTCTCAGCTACATAATTGCCTCTGTTCTCTAGCTTGTCTTCACTAGCATAAAAGGTGAATGTCTGCAGAACACTGGATCCAGCTCTGAGGAATTCCCGGTGAAGCTGACGAACTGAAAAGAATTAAAAGAAACAGAGAAGAGATGTTTGGACAGTTATTAACTATTCTTATGCCCAAATTAAATGTTTATTGAAGTAATGTTACTGTAAAATAAGTGATACTGTGTTTACTAGAAAAGACATTAAGAGAGAGTTTAAGCAGTACCCCAGTCTGCATAGAATTCCTTTCTTCTCACTCTCAGAATATCGGGTAGAAAACTTTCTCCTTAGTTATTCTCTGCTAAGAGTGACTTAAGATTTCAGTTTAGTTTATCTGTAGATTCAGTTTTGCATGCTACCTTGCCTATCTTCTATTTTCTGTAATCCTTCAGACCTCTCAATTTCACTGCATAGTGGTTTAGGAAAGGAAAGCAGAATTCTGAGAAAAGAACATGAAAGCATAACAAGGAATACCAGACAAAAAGATCATGAAATGGAAAAGCCGTATTTTCTTAGCTTTTAGACTGTGAAGAAGAAAACAGAAGAAAGTATCGTGGCAACAAATTAAGAGACAAGATGATATTATATGGAAGAATACAGTGTCCCATTACCTCCTCTATATTGTTTTCTAGTCTTCTCCCCCTACAAAGCTCTAGCTGAGTCTCGTCAGACAAAACCAAAGCTCTACTTTGCTAGACTCTTAATTAGAAGACGATTTGTTGCACCAGAAAAGTGACTTGCAACACAGACTTAATTCTTCTCATAAGTCAGCATATTTAACTACAGAGCCAACACTTCTTTTGAAGGAAAAGATGGCATTACTTTTAATGGACAAACTTCCTACATTAAGACTTTGGGAGTAGGCTCTGTAATAGTAGTTCTGCTTTCATCGCTGTAAACAGTATACTGCAATTGGCACAGTAGGAACAGAACAGGAGCTGTCAATTGATTTTACATGTATACTCAAGAACAATAATTATAATAAGTTCTAGAACACTACTGATCATGTAAAACAGAGTTAAAATACTCAACGGCTTATAGCAAATACAGGATAATTTATTCCCTAGATACTGTACACAGACACAGGACCACTGCAGTTTCTGCAGCAGATGTTTGGAGAAGCTTTCCTGAAGTCCTGTTTTATCATACGTCATTGTCTACAAACTGTGTCATTAGGGAAATGTGTGAATGTGTCACGAGAATAAAACTACTCCCTTCAGCTGCAATAAACACAGCTTTTTATGCCAGAGAAGCTCAAATAACAGTTTGCATTGCTAGAGTCAATCTGCATACACGCAAGCACGTCTGCTTTCGGTGAAGGAACAGTGTAACGTCCCTTGACTTTCTCTACTAGTACAGTATTAAATTTCTACTTACAGCCTTGGGTAACCACAATGTGATTTAACACAACGCTTCTTTTGCCAGCCATCACAAAGACCTATCCAGGAACACAGATTATAGCAGGGCTACAGTTCAAAAAGTCCCTAGAATCTCCCTGAACTACCAGGATCAAATTTCAGTCTTAAAACATTTACGCAGAGTCAAGCCATTCCTAGTGCAGGGAGTATTCTTCCTACAGTGTTAAAATAGCCTACTGATCCCAGCTAAAAGAGCTCTCTCTGTATGTTCTAGTGTTCTGTAGTTTGTTTTCTATTTTCCCCATGGGGATGAAAACTAGTCAAGAAATGGGAAAAGGAAAAAAGAATCTACAAATATTTTCACAAATGCTCTATAACATTTCCATAATAAACCAGATTTGTTTATCCCCATGGTTAGTGCTCTTTAAATATGGTTCTTGCATTCCTAGAAGAATGCTTGGGATTTGCGTGAATAAGAGTGGTCATGTAGGTAGACAAATGAAACATAATCTAACATATATGAATAAGGAACTTCATATCCCAAATTATCAGGTGTGTGAACAGGAGACTCTTGAATGGATCTACATTTTGAGGGAAAGAATAGTGTTATAAGTATCAGCCTGAATCTCATTCAACCTTAGGCAAATAATTTTTACCAGCAGAATATCCTGTTACCATTATCAAGCTCACAGCATTCTGCACTAGCGAAACCCCAAACTGCTCTGTAATTTACTTCTTGTGTGACTTCCAGCATATTTCTGAAGCTGTGTTTTCCTTCACCATTTGAGAAATGGGGATAACAGCCACATATGAGCCTAAACAATTATTGACAATTTGATGCATTTTAGGAGTCAGATGTATAACACCAAGTTTGATTTCAATCCACCATGAGTTGGATGGTTCCCCCAAAGGCATAGAATTAACGCAATTAAGCTAACAGGAGATGGGGGCAATAAGTGCCTATGGATATTGCTCACTACAGAACAATATCTGACCTGGCTCAGAAGAAATATTTAGATCTAACTTCTAAATTTGTCAGTCTGGCAAAACTTCTCTTGTAACAGAGATAGTGGCCTTGAACTCACTCTTTTCTTCCCCCTCCCCCCTCCATTCCTTGCTGCATTCTCAGAACCTCCCTCTTTTTCCCTTCTTCCTTAAAGACAAGAAGGTCTGGTAGTTGTATGGGTTTTACACCAGCTGGCTCAGCCAGTTGCTCCTTCTGCTCTTTACACCTGCTTTCAAAGTAACATGACCCTTGAGCATGCAAGAGCAAAAAGCAGTAATGGAGGGGAGGCAGCACACTGCGCTAGGAGAAATGAACACATTTCCAGTGAAGGCTGTTATTTATAAATAGCCTATAAGGGGCTTACAAAAATTTTATAACTATGTTACAGACATGACCGATATGTTCTAGCGAATCTGTAGTAATTCTCGGAAGGCTGGATTCTAACCTATGACTACTGATCACGCATTTGAAGCAAAACTGTGTTCCAATTTAGCCAATTTAAGCCACCTGCAACTGCAATGTCTTGCATTCCCCATGGACTGAGACCTTGTGTTTCCCAAAACGACATGTGGAGAGGATCAAGGACTTTTTAGGTGCAAAATAAGTAAGCAAAATGGAAATTAAGAGCCTGAGATAAGTGCTATGATTTGTAAGATGGAATGTGTAGGGGCAGACAAAAGTAGAAGTGGAGAGAAAGAGAGAGAGAAGTGCTCAGATGTCTTCTGGGGAGATAAGAGTCATCAAATTAGATCACAACTCTCTAAACCTTTGATGGAGCTCTTCATTATCCAAGGCTGTTGGTGACCCTAAGTTAGGCATGCTACAAAAAGTGACACTTCAAGGCTGAGAAGGATTATGGTGAACAAATAGGCAAGGTGTACAAAGCAATGTAATAGAGAGGGCTAAGATCTCTCTCCTTCTTCCCCCTGTATAGAGGAAAAAGACTAATTTGGAAGGACAAACAAAACAAAGAAATCTTTTTTTCCCCAGGATATTCTGAATTGGCTTGTGGGACTAACTGCACACCACATTACTAGGGCAAATACTTGCTTGTAATGAAGCATACATAAAGAGGTAATAGCATCTGCTTTTGCACTGTTTATGCTGAACACTATAATCGTTATGCTGGAAGGCGCAGAATGATTCTCGTTTTGTCTCCCTCCACTTCAAGAGAGTTACTCCACTAAAAGTTTATTGCAATTCTTAGGTTCTTACGAGGTTTATCATTCCCCATTTCACAGCTGAGCCAGACATTAAAACTTCTCTTCTATTCCATTGTTTATTAAAAGCTGGTATTTTCCTGAAAGAATTAATAAACAAACTGTATTAATTTGTAACAATATAGGAGTCCTAGGATGGCTAGCACACAACAAAACAGTTAACTGAAGAATTCTTTTTCACAAGATGCTTTAAATAACCATTACATCAGCTAAAGGACAGACTGGACAAATCTATGAGACAGAAATTATTGAAATCTATTAAATACAAAGATACCATATTTGGGTCAAAAAGTCTCTGGGCTGCAAACTATTGAAGACTGGGAGAGCATTCTGGAGAGGTATCACTGTATGTTTGCATGACTCATTCTTACTCAGCCAACTGCTTTTGCCAGTGTTAAGAGCAAGAAAAAGGGGTAAGAACTAGATGATCTTTGAGGTCCCTTCCAACTCTAACCGTTCTATGATTCTATGATTCTAAGACGAGCATTTGGTATACAGATTCTTAGGCTGTTCTTAACAGCGTAATTCTACAGTGTGAAGGAACACTTCTATTTAAAAACTTACTAAAAATTCCTATATATTTATTATTTATCCAACCATGTTTACATTTCCCACTAAAACTGACCTGCTTCTGGGTGTTCTACCGTTGCTTCAGGAGTCCAAGGCCCAGCTTTTACATATCCCCTCTTTTCAAGAGCAAAGACAAAACCTCCATCTCCAATCACAATTTCTCCAGCGTCTAAGCGCTCTAGAATACCCTGAAGAAAGCAGGAGGAAAAGTTAACAATTACAGTTCTTCAGTTTTGTGGGCTTCGTTCATCTTTGTTGCCATTTCCTGTATTTGCAAACCACACATAAATGTTTGTGAGCTACTAGTAACATCTTTGCCATAATAATAAAAAGCAATCAATTTCAACTTAAACTTATTCAATTTATCTTTAAAGAATGGTAGATGGTCTGTTTTGCAACATAAGGCTTTAATATGTGCAGATATATTATGTAAGACTTTTCATTAGTCAGTTTTATTATATTCCAGAGATACAGTCCCCAGAGCTAGAAGTCAGTGGTCCAATTCCATTCCATTCCTATGAAAGTAAAATTCCATTTTAAATTCTCCTGTAAAATATATGATAAACCTCTTAAAATGAAGGACTAGGATCACTGACCTCTCTATTAGCTCATTCGCTCTTTAGCAATGAATCCCATCTTGACAGAGCCTCAGCACAAGTAGCTAGTGACATAAGATGGTATAACAGGCATCATAGAAGAGTAAGCATGTAACGTTTTCCTACCAAATAAGACGCATCTCAAAATGCTGGCCTCCATTTTCTGACAGACTTTTTACTGGCCTATGTTTGCTTACCTAGACTTACAAAATGAAAGAAAATCCTGCTTGTTTTGCACAGCCCTGGAATATTTTAAGATGCCAAATTACAAACCTCACAGCACCCTGTGATTAACCTTGCTTCTGCATTGAACTCCATGCTAATGCAAGAAAAGTGGTAATTATTTTTTTTTGTACAAATGAAAAACGTGAGAACAACATGCATTGGTTGCACCTAATATATATTATTTTTTGTATTCCTTTCATTGCTTCATTGGCTTGTTGAAATTTTCCCAAAATTACCTTGCTATTACACTCAATAGTACTAATTTCTGCAATTGGTTTACAACCATAATTCTATTTACTTTAAAAAGTGAAAGAATGCAGACCCGTTACATTAATAAAAGTAGTGAGTACAGGAAAAGAGTCAAAGATAAGACTAAAATTTCCCACCATAGTTATCTTTTCTTGATGGCATGATAACATGTCAGTAAATGAAATCTGAGAGAGTAGAAAAAAGAAAAGCCTTGTAGACATAGAGAGTGGTTTTCATGCTGAGCGGAAAGGTTTTTTAACAATTAGCCTCCAACCTTTAGTAGATTTTCTTCCTTGATAATTTCTCCTTCACTGATTCAATTATCTCACACAATATATCCAGGAAAGTCAAACACTTAAGACGTCTCAACGCTGCCCTTTAGGTGGGATGAGAGTATACCTTTCCAACAAGAAGGAGCACTGTGCCAACTACACCAGTTCCAGTACCAAACATAGCAGTGTAAGGCTACTTGGAGGTTACAAAACCTGGCTGAGAGGGTCAGCATTTTTGGCACAGGCACTGACATGGCAGCAAGGTGATGGGACTTCTCTGTACAGTGCTGCTGTGCAGACATACGAGCTTGGCCAAGTGTTGGCTTGCAAATCTCTGCATCACATTCCATTGCACATTGTGAACTTGCCAAAATAGTGACCTGATTAAATTTAATAAAGTGTGCAAGCTTTTATCTTTTTTTTTTCAGCAGCACCAGAGCAAAACTCAATCTGCAATACTCAACCTTCAAAACTCCATAATTTTCAATGAGTCTACCAGTTATACCTGTCTACTAGGGAAATTCTGTTCTAAGTGTAAATGTCAGGAGGCTTTGAAAAGATTGTGTTTGCAATTAACTAATTTGCAGTTGTAACACAATGCCTCAAATGGGGCCAGAGAGAGGCACTCAAGGGATCACTGGTTGAGTTCCTGCTTCCTCTGCCTGCCAAGGAATCTTTTATAGATGGAGTCTGCTTCAGAAGCTTAATATGCAGAAAACAGAAGTGTGAGGGGAAAAAAAAATCTCAGTCTCAGTCATTGCTTGTTGACTGAACATTAAGTAATAGATACATGTTGACATCATATATAGATATTATATTTAAATGCACTACAACTAACAGATTTTTTTCTTTTAACAAGCCCCTTCTACAACTTAACAGCAGTTTTCCTTCAGTTCTAGCTTTTTTAAACTGCATTTTAAAATACTCTTCACTTTGGCATACAGAAGCAACATAAGCCATGATTAAAAAGACCACAGCATCTTAATACATAATATATTGTGATATATTAAACTTAGCATCAGGGCATTTAATAGCAGGTGACATAGCTATAAAGCATGAAGTACTTAATACAAACTTACTTTGTCAGTGCAGATTGGCTTAAAATGGAAATAACTTTTTTGTGAACTTTATTGTAGGTCTGATATGATCTCTTCACACCATTTTTACTTTATCTATACTGGGTAAAATACCATTGGTTCAATCAGCGTATAGCTAGTGTAAATTCAGCAGCAACATTCTTTTGTTGTGCCCCGGATACCTTCAACTGTATGCTCATGCACAATTCAGATCAAAACTGTACTGTTTGGTGATGGGGCAGTACACAGATCTGGTATTAAATAACAAGAAACAGTATCTGTAAAAAGCTAACCAAGGCTTTTTTGAGCCATTTTTTCATTGCTTTACTTTCGCTACCATGAATGAATTTGCACCACATAGTCCATACACCTATTCACGGAAAGAGCGCAAATGTCTGTATGAAGATATTCCCTCAACCACCTTTGGGGATGTAACTGAACCACATCGGTGGAAAGCCTGCTTGGTCTACCTATATCCTACCTTTCCATCAGTGGAGAGAAAAAAGCATCTCAGAACAACTGTTCCAATCTTAAGTAAGCCCTCCAGAGAAGCTTATCTGTCCATTGCCTGTAGGGAGAACTTAGGGCAATTGCCTTCTGCCAGGTGTCTGAAGTTAGGTGGAATGAGCATGAGCCAAAAATATAAAGCAGAACAAATACCTCCCACCTCCTTCCTTTTTAACTGATCTACCTGAAAGGCCTAGAGCTCATAGACTTCTTATACACTACACATAAAACTGAGTAAAACCGGTTCTGAGTATGAAGTGCCCTATTAATGAGAATAGTGTCCTTCTGAATGGAGACAGAACACGTGATTCCACTGACCTTCCTAAGCGGCAGTGCAGGGTAGCAGTACTGGTGTATGTCAGAGAGTTTGATTTAGACATTGCTAATATGTTTGCCCTAATGGCCAGTATGGCTGATGCCTGGGTAACTTCTAATACTGGTTTATTTCTTCAGATAAATAAGAGTGCAAAGGGCAGGCATACATTGGAGACCATGCTCGTATTACAAATGCTGCTAGTATTCAGTCACGTAAAGCCAGGGAAGAGCAATTTGGGGCTCTTAAAAAGAGTTGGCAGAATGCTGGAGACAGAAATCCCATCCAATGATGGTTCATGCTTAAAATATTTACCATTTTAATGTGCTGCAAGCACTGCTTAGTTTGCATATAAATACCGATAAGCAAAATGGTTTTGAACTTCGGTGGCTCCAGCCTATGTGTTCAGAGAAATCAAAATTCTCTGAGCTGTTACAGCATCAAGTTCAATCCAATCCATCCATCTCGTAACGGTGTCCAAATGTCTTTAATGGCTAGATGCTAAACAGGTATGGTTATTATTACGGCTTTACTTTAGCTTTTCACAATATGGCGTTACCTGCAGAAATACTGAGTACCTTACTGGGAGATCGAGAAGCGCAGTTCGCGGGAGATGCCAGTTCAGCAGCAGCTCCCCAGGAAAGCCTGCCGGCA